TCGGTGTTTCACTGTGTCCGGAGGACACAGCGGGCACCGGATCGCGGTGCTGCGCGCTCCCAGGGAGCGCGCACAAGCAGGGTGCGGGGAGGCCATTTATAGACGGCCACTCGACCCTGCAGTGCCACCGTCCGGTCGTTTATATACAACGGCCGGTCGGGAAGTGGTTAACTGAGCAGATCAATATCCCAGGAGTTTCATTGACTTGATGCTATACTCTTATTAAAAAGTGTTCCTTTAATTCTTTTGAGCAGTGTATAAATATAGGTAAAACTGTTTTGTTTTAGAGTGTCAAGAGATTAGAACATCTTTCACATTTTTGCCCTTATTGGGGAGATTCATCTTCTGCATTTGTCCTGTTTATCATTACCAACAAAAGTGAAAGTAAAAGAAAACCCCAAATTTTGGGTTGTCACCAGTACAGTAATATAGGGGAAACCTTCTAATGGGGACACTAGTTCTAGTAACCCTGGCGACAAGCAAAGATTAACTGAATTTGGAGGGATTTCCTCTTACTTCTGTTTTGGCTCTGGAGCAAAAATTGAAGGGAAATCTCCCAACTGACACACACATGGCAAAAATATGAAGGGGTTATAACTCCCTTACCCTATCTAAAATTAAAAAAAAAAGTTTTGCCATTAGTCACACTTTACGTTAGGTGCTCAGGTAAAGGAAAGGTAAAGACTACATTAAGGTTAAATGAGGTTATGAGTTTTGTATGTGTTGGGGCTTATTTAGACCATTGTGTTACAGTACTGTACAAAAAACCTAGGTGTCCTGTTATGCAATAGTAAATGACCGCTGCTCAGTTCTCTGGCATTCTCAGAGGAGACAGTTCTCCTCTGAATGTCTTTTTATGAAGCGGTGTAGATTGCTTCTCCTAATGAGAAGTTTGTATTACTCTCTTTAAAAAGGCTAACTGTAGGACAGCACATAATGAGGTCTGAATGGGTCCTAAACATAAGGGTTCTGGTAGAGGAGAACTAAAGACTAACTTTTAGACCATGTTACTCTTATATTTAAGATGTAATAACAAGTGGACTACCCCCCACACTGTTGTTACACTCTGCTTATTGGATCAAAGGAAATAGACATTTAACTAGTTGCCGACCGCAGACAGCCGAATGACGGCTTCACTGCGGCCAGCCAGTTCTGGGTGGACGTCATATGACGTCCCCCCAGAACGCGCTCTCCTGCGCGCCCCAGGGGGCGCGCACCCGGCGATCTCCGTGATCGCTGTGTCCTACGGACACAGCTGATCACGAGATGTGGTAAAAGGCCAATCATACCGGCCTTTTACCACGTGATCAGCGGTGTCCAATGACACGCTGAGCACAGGGAAATGCAAGTGCCGGTTCTCGGCTGCACTTTCCTCATGCTGTCAGATCGTGAGGAAAGTACTGCCGAGAACCGGCAGTTGTCAGAGCGAGGATCGGCACCGATCATCAGGGCACTGATGATCAGTGCCCTGATGATTGGTGCCCAGCAGTGCCACCCACAAGTTCCGCCCACCTGTGCCCAGCAGTGCACCCACTAGCTCCGCCCACCTGTGCCCAGCAGGGCACCCACCTGTGCAACTCTGCAGTGTCACACACCTGTGCCCAGAAGTGCCACCTACCTGTGCCCAGCAGTGCCACCCACCTGTGCCCACCCACCTGTGCCCACCAGTGCCACCCACCTGTGCCCACCCACCAGTGCTGCCCACCAGTGCCACCCACTAGTGCAGCCCAGCAGTGCTGCCAGTCAGTGCCACCAGTCAGTGCCCAGCGGTTGTGCCAGTCAGTGCCGCCAGTCAGTGCCCAGCAGTGATGCCAGTCAGTGCCATCTATCAGTACCCATCATCAGTGTCACCTATCAGTGCCGCCTATCAGTGCTGCATATTAGTGCCGCCTATCCGTGACACCTCATTAGTGCTGCCTATCAGTGCCGCCTATCCGTGCCACCTCATTAGTACTGCCTATCAGTGCCCTTTAGTGCCGCCTATTAGTGCCCATCAATGCTGCCTCATCAACGCACATCAGTGAAGGAGAAAAATTAGCTGTTTGAAAAATTTTATAATAGAAACAAAGAATTTTTTTTTTTTTTTTTTTTTTAAATTTTTTGCACTTTTTTAATTTATAGCGCAAAAAGTAAAGCGCCCAGTGGCGATTAAATACCACCAAAAGAAAGCTCTATTTGTGAGAAAAAAATGATCAAAATATGGGTACAATGTTGCATGACCGCGCAATTGTCAATCAAAGTGCGGCAGCGCTGAAAGCTGAAAATTGGCCTGGTAAGGAAGGGGGTATAAGTGCCTGGTAGGCAAGTGGTTAAGGGAACTGTTTAACTTTTACTTTTTTTTTACCATCACTTTTTTCAGGTATTTTAAATTATTTTATTGCATGGGAGAAATGTATACAAGTGTGGGAAAGTTTGTTTTTCATGAAAACATTGATCATGATTAATCAACATAAATTCAGATACTTATGCTAGGTCAATGTAAAATACCAAATTCTGCAATATATATATGTATAACAGCTTCAACTCTTCTGGGAAGGCTGTCCATGAAGTTTAGGAGTGTGTCTATGTTTGACCATTCTTCCAGAAGTGCATTTACGAGGTCAAGCAATGATTTCAGATGAGAATGCCTGGCTCATAGTCTCCGCTTTAATTCATCCCAAAAGTGTTATATCGGGTTGAGATCAGGACTCTGTGCAGGCCATTCAAGTTCCTCCACCCCAAACTCGCTCATCCATGTCTTTATGGACCTTGCTTTGTGCACTGGTGCACAATTATGTTGGAACAGTAAGGGGCCATCCCCGAACTGTTCACACACAAAGTTGGAAGCATGACATTGTCCAAAATGTCTTGGTATGCTGACACATTAAGAGTTGCCTTCACTGGAACTAAGAGTCCAAGCCCAGCCCTGAAAAAAAAAAAAAAACCCACACCATAATCCCCCCTCCACAAAACTTTACACTTGGCACAATGCAGTCAGGCAAGTACTGTTCTCCTGGCAACCGCTAAACCCAGACACGTCCATCGGATTAAATGCAAAGAAAACAAACAGAGGGCACATTGGCCTAGTGCAGGGGTCTGCAACCTTTAAGACATAAAGAGCCACTTGGACCCGTTTCCGAGAGGGAAAAAAAGACTGGGAGCCCCAAAACCATTGCAACATTTAAAACAAATCCGACACTGCATATATTGCAAAAAACGCTCTGGTCATGAAGGGGGTTTAAGGGCCCAGTAAGCAAAGGGTTAATCAGGGCCACAGTGTATCGTCATAATCACAATCATAGCCTTAGGTCAGTGGTGGGCAACCTTTTTTTTCGACTGAGCCAAATCTCGCCAAAACCACGATTGAAATTTATTTTGAGAGAAACATTTTTTTAAAACTGAAAATACATCCCCCATATAGTAATTCATCCCCCATATAGTAATTCATCCCCCATAGTAATTCATCCCCCATATAGTAATTCATCCCCCATAGTAATTCATCCCCCCTATAGTAATTCATCCCCCTTATAGTAATTCATCCCCCATATAGTAATTCATCCCCCGTAGTAATTCATCCCCCATAGTAATTCATCCCCCCTATAGTAATTCATCCCCCCTATAGTAATTCATCCCCCATATAGTAATTCATCCCCCATATAGTAATTCATCCCCCCTATAGTAATTCATCCCCCCTATAGTAATTCATCCCCCATAGTAATTCATTCCCCATATTGTGTGAATTCACTTACCTTTGCTCCGCGCGTTCCTCTCGCTGGGTTCCCGCGCCGTTCTGGTCTTCAGGGCGGACTGTGAGAGGAGAGGAGTTCGTCACGCTGCCCCGCCTACATCCGGGCTGCCCCGCCTACATCCTGACAGCCAATGTTTGCCAGCGGGCGCCCGGCACAGGGAAGAACTGCATTAAAAGAGCCGCGGCTTGCCGACCCTATTGCCTGTCACCTGGTGGGCAGTGTGCTCCGGAGCCGCAGGAAAGGTGAAAAAGAGCCGCATGCGGCTCCGGAGCCGCGGGTTGCCGACACCCGGCCTAGTGCATTACATAAATTACATTTATTGATAAATTATCAATAATTATCAATAAATGTTATTTAGGTAATGCACTAGGCTGGTGAACCCTCTGTTTGTTTTCTTTGCATTTAATGTTTTGGACTCCACCAGTCCTTTGAGGGCAGCAAGGCTTGCAACATCCAGGAACTCCATAATGCAGCTACATCGAGTTCACCCCCAAATGCAGGAGTATTTGTGTTTATTATTTGGACGTCCATCGGATTGACAGACAGAGAAGTGTGATTTTTCATTCCAGAGAACACGTCTCCACTGCTCTAAAGTCCAGTGGCGGGGTGCTTTACGCCACTATATCTGACGCTTTGCATTACACTTGGTGATGTAAGGCTTGGATGCAGCTGCTCGGCCATAGAAACCCATTTCATGAAGCTCTCTACGCACTGTTGTTGTGCTAGTCTGAAGGCCACATGAAGATTGGAGGTCTTTAGCTATTGACAGTTGGCGACTTCTGAAGAAATGTGCACTTCAGCATGCGCTGACCCCGTTCTGTCATTTTACGTGGCCTACCACTTTGTGGCTGGGTTGATGTTGTTCCCAGTTGCTTCCACTTTGTTATAATACTACTAACAGTTGACGGTGGAATATTTAGTAGTAGGGCAATTTCACAGATTAATTTATTGGACAGGTGGCAACTTATCATGGTACCAAGCTTGAATTCACTGAGCTCCTAAGAGCGACCCATTCTTTCACAAATGTTTGTAGAAGCAGTCTGCATGCCTAGGTGCTTGATGTTATACACCTGTGGCCATGGAGGTGATTGGAACATCTGAATTCATTAATTTGGAGGAGTGTTCCAATATCTTGGCAATAAAGTGTATATGTAACTATGTAAAAACATGTAAGATTGTGGCTGCTTTTTTTATATGTTTGTTTGCACACTCTGGAATAAAAAAATAAAGTTCCTTAAAGTGTTACTAAACCCAGGACCCTGCATTCACTATATCTGGTCTCCCAAAGTACACATAACATGGAAGTGCAATTATTTTAGTAAATGTAAACTGCTAAATACCTTTTCTCATCAGCAGTTAGAGCAGTCTTGTGACTTCTGTCAGTGTCCAACTGAGCACTGGTTAAAGCTTGTAGGAGGAAGCAAACTGTTTGGGTTGTGGACAACCAATCATCACTCACAAACTGCATTTTGAACAAAGAATCTTCTCGCTATCAAAGGAACTTGCTGTTGACTGCAGTGAAAGTCTAACTCAAACAAAAATGTTTTCTTTAATTTTGTACATGGTCGAAGGATTATCTTTGTTGGTGTATGTATTTCCTGTCAGGAGATTTGCCCAAACTTCATGTCATAAGTGATGGGATATTTACCTGGTGGAGTGAGGCAGCCATAAACGCACATTTATTTAGTAACATGGGTAGAGTTTGGTAACACTAGCACCCACCTATTTCTTGTCCTGGCGTCAGTGGGACAGAAAGTAAATAAAAATAAAACAAACATTTGACAGAAGTTCTGATTAGAGATGAGCGAAGAAATGAAAAATTCGATTCGACTGATTCGGCGAATTCGTGGACAATATTCGATTCGAGTCGAATAAATTCGCTGTGAATTTAACTTAAAAAAGGGTGTTTCTAGGCTTCAGAGAGACTTAATATTAGTGCAGAACACTGTACCTTTAATTTAAATGCCCTTGGAGTCTGCTGGGGAAGAGAAATAATACTGTCTGTCAGTATGACATGCAGATGAGTGCCGTCGATCTTAGAATCACCGCACACTTCACTCATTTGGGCAGTCACGGGGCCAAAACCAGTGTTTGGAGCCACAGTGTGGCGGTGGAGGCAGCAGCAATGGGAGGCCATACAGCAACCTATGACAAAATGGAAACCAGCAGGAGCGTGAGGAGACCTGAAAGTGGCACATGGCAGAGTGGGAGCAATGGGAGGCGGTACAGGGACCCAGGTCACACTGTGGGCCCAGCAGCAGCGTGACCAGGCGGTACGGGGGCCCATGGCCGATAT